TCGGCTGCTGCGTCCGCCACTGCTTCTTATCGAACGTGACGCTGAAATAAAACGATGACACGTTATTTTAGCGACGCGTGTATATCGTCCACTATCCAATTTCTATATTTCACTACGCTGCGCCAGAGAATCGATTATCCTTTCTTTTTCTCGTTCGCAGTAGAATTTCGTTTCATTCGATCTTAAGACAAAGGAACGTAGATACTTACAGCTAGGTCTATGAAAGTGTGGGCTAGTCGGTGGTTTGTCGTACGGCTGTATCGGACGTCTCAAGTACCCTTGGCTCGGCGTTTCGGTCAAGTACGAATAAGTATAAATCCTAGACACGTCTTCGGATGGACCACGTCCGTACTCTCGCAATATCAGTCCAGGACTGCCAGTTCGCGCAGGGTAATACTGAGGCAATTAACGTATATTATCACGGCTAAACTCGTTCTCTCTGTTCGATGGATCGTAAAGCGTCTCTCATACGGCTAATTTTTAGCTATTTACTCGGCAAATGAAGATAAAAAAAAAACTCAACGCGCTTCTATTCTCTCTCAAGATAACCCGCTGTTAGGAATACCACTAAAAAGCCTTGTACGATCGCATACGCCAGCTTCGTCAAGGATTTGCGAATAAATTGACATAATGACGTCATCTTGAAAGGTTTTTGATGAAACGTGGTATCTCTGTTGACTGGAAGCCCCGTTATATTCAAGACACTCTAATATCGTTCGAAGGCTGGGCAGAGGAGCGATACAAGGTTAGTTGGAAATTGTGCATTGCCGTTGGAAGGTTTATCCAAAGTCGTATGTATCGTAGTTACTCGAGATCGTTTTAAAGTAAAAAGATGACCGAGTAATGGAAAATATTGGAGGGCGCTACACCATCCACCACCAGCGAAGAAAGGTTTCAAACCGTTAACGAAACTAACCGTTAAAGGATGAAATCGCGGAGATCTACGAACCGTTTTAAAGTAGTATTTATTAAGTAATCGAAGGTGTCTCTTGAGAGAGTACTTGTGCTAGGCTAGGAGATACATGGCATACCTTGCGACTGAGGCTGCTGTAAGGGCTGCAGAGTGATCCGTTCAGGCTTGGCGTGCGTGACCGCAATGAAAACTATACACAATGACCGTGCCAAAAAAAAAGGAAACAACAATTAAGAAAGCAATAATAAAAATGAAAAATAATAAAAAAGATAAAAAATTATATAGTAAACTGTTGATGTACGTACGTATATATGTGTGTATATATATATATATATACAGATACATATACACACACACACACACATGTGTATATAAAACTTGGGACATCGAAGCGTGCGGCAAAAGTACGACATGTTAAGGAACAAATGCATGTTAAAAGCCACGTAATACGTATATATATCGTCGAATAAAATGGAAACGAAGCTATACACAAAGCTGGTTACGAGTAAAAAAAGGTAGAAAATTTAGATTCTAGAACGATCTACTCTAAATGGCTATGTATATCGAACAGAAAAATTAACCGAGCAGCAAAAAAACGTCTCGCACGAATACGTGTTGTACAACAGTCCAAATATAAGCACGATGCAAGCTGAACTTTGTGTTTCGTGTTTTTTCGGGCCAGAATCGGCTCGAAGGCAACATACTTCCCCCTCTTTTGGTTACTTCTTTGTCTCCTCTACACGATCGGATATAGCAAACTTCAAAATTCAAGTATGCGCACGGACACGATTTAGGTCGTTCAACGGTGTACGATGCAACTGAACGAGGAAAAAATGCAATTGGCGGACGTAGACAGCGACGTGCAATTACGAATGTCGACGTTCGAAATGAATGTGATATGCGGCGATTGATCACGGCGTTATAACGTAACGTATAGAAGCGGGCGACGTTAGATATCACATCCGCACGGAAAATGCTAATGGTGTGCGCTTCTTCTACCAAGTTCAATGACGCGTGAATGATTCCGTGAAAAATGAATGGCAAAACAATCGCTGCTCAGTGATCAAGACGAACAACGATAAAATGAGGAAACAAACGGACCGACCACCATCTATACACAAACGAACACGCAGTAACAGCGAATATACACGTATGATACAATATTTTACAGAAACAATATACAGTTCTCGCCAGTTCCAATTTAACGGTTCGCGGTTACGATAAAGTAAAACTCGGAAACCACGATCCTATTTTCTTAACGATCGATCGAAAGCGATCGTCATCTCGATGAAAATAGCGAAACGGCCGACGGTCTTCCACTTTTCGCTTCTTCCATCCCTTGGATGCTCGTGGTCTTACCTGCATCTCCGAAGCGCTGCTGGAAATCCGTTCTGACTCTCGATGCTGTGGCGTGTGAGCTTCGCCGTGACCATTCACGATACCGTTCGGACCGCTAGGACCCGGACCGCAACGGGGATGCCATATGGCTGCACCCTGCAAATACATTTCCTCTCCATCGCCGAAAGGATCGCCACACTTGGTGCAACGAGCACAGGTCGGATGAAAGTGGTGATTGTCTCCGGCCTGTAACACCTTTCCGCTGATGTAACGGTTGCAGTAGGCACATTTCACGCCGAACTGCTTCTGATAATCCTTCTCACAGTAAGGCACTCCATCTCTGTTGATCAAAGCGGAGGAATTTCGTTGGTACCGGTATCTGTGTTTGGCGGACGTTCTGGATGAACTCGGCTACCTAACGTTTGACCAGTGACTAGCTTTCACCGATCCTAATCTCGCGCATTAGGTAAATATTAATGCCCGGCAATTTACTCTGGCTATCAAAAACCAGCGAAATTTCAACGCTGCTCGAGCTCCTCTTTTCTAAATCGTGCTTTCTCTAGTTTCTTTTTCACCTAGCTACGTAAACTACACCTATCTATTCGATGAAAATTTTACAAGCTCTACGATCTCCAATTAGAAATCTCTCGATACGATCGAAGTGATCGTGGAATAATAAATCGGAGATATGGAATGTAAAGCGGGTGTTTGAGGGATGAGAAACGGATAACCAATTTTTCCACTCACTTTCCCATGTATTCTCCGTGAAGAACGGTGTCACAGGTGTGACACTTGAAGCACCATACGTGCCACTGTCGATCGAGAGCGACCAAAGCTTGACCTTCCCGTAATTGGTTTCCGCAACCAGCGCAGGCACCGGGGTCGGACGGCCCGTCTCCGGATCCTCTGGTAGCGGAGCTATTGCCGACCGGCGTCGAGGCCTCTCGAACCGGGATACCGACGCATCGATGACACAGAGCTTGACCTATAGATAACGCTCGGTTAGTCGAGATTGGACAGATCCGGTCGACGATCTGACCGCGAACGACCGACTCGCTGACGCATACGCTCTATTGTCTTTTATTCGAGAAACGAACACGAATCAACGATCATGCACGCCGTATCTTCGCGGCTGATTCATCGTTTGTACGCGTACAAACAACGCGGCTTAACGTCAACTCGCGGGAAGAAGCATTCGTGGCTTGTTCGGTCGTTCGATTTACGTATTTTCGCGTATAAATAACCGACCGTACGACCGTGCTTGGTCGCCGTGCATCGTTACGATCGATCAAGTTCTCACGATGATCGATAAACGCGTTTCCCCGTGTCCTTTCGGGGGCCAATTTTCTCTGAACGCGCTCTATGTGCTTGTAATCGGTGGAGTTGAAAGGTCGGAAAGAGAAACAGAGAATCGAAGCTTCGTGCGTGTATTTGTGGAACTAGCGCTCTAAAAATACGCAGCTTTATCGGCATCCTCGACCAGCCAGATCGATAAAGCAATGGTAAAAGATGCGCATAAATATTTGCACGGGAAAACAATGGGGAGAAGCGAAACGGGGCAAGTTTAACTCGCGATACGCTCGTTTCGACGCACGCATATTTTTAAGCGTTCGCCGCGTAATCGTTACAAGGCCACGCGAGCGTAGCCTCGTTCGATGGCGATATACACCTAAGTGGTAATTTGCTTTAACAGGTTTACCGGTACTCCAATTGCGCCGATCGAATAGCAACGAACTCGATCCTCGCACTCCTTACGAGCTACGACACCGTTTCGCTGATCCTGAAAGGAAGCTCACCTTGAACGAGGGACACCTTGGTCCCTTGGCCGAGTAACGGTTGCCTACACCGCTGGCAATGGAAACAATTCGGATGGAAGGCGTGCTTGTCTCCTGCGGTGACCACGTCGCCCTCCACGTATTCTCCGCAACCTGCGCACTTTGTCCCCCAGCGTTCTCTGTAATCCTGAAAAATTAACAAACCCACGAGTCCGTTACCGACTATTCACCGGACATCGTATCGCGCAGACAGCCCGTGAAATTCGTCGTCGCACCGGACGCGATGCTTTATTTGCGTATTTGCCAAGATAAATACTCGGAACGAACGAACAGCTTTTAGCGAATCTTGCGCGGAGATTTTATTGGGAATTTCTGCAACGTTCTGTAACGCGATATACCGCGACTGTTTCGTCCTTTTGCTCTTTGTCAAATATTTCGAGGCAAAACTACGGGAAACAAGAAGAAAAGCAAAGAAGTCTATTTATCGCGGTTCGAGTTACGCGCTCTACATAATCGCGGTCCTCTCGCTTTCTACGTCATTCTTATCGTCGCCTTGGTTTCTTATTCGTACGTTCCAGTACCTTCGTGCAGTAGTAAGAGCCCTCGCGCGCGAAAAAGCCACCCTGTGCCAAGCTCGCGTTGCACTGAGCACACTTGAAACACCCTATGTGGAAATACTTGTCCTGCACTCGTAGCACCTCCCCGCTGCACTTCTTCTTGCAAGACTGACAGAATGTTTTACCTGTAATGAAAAAGAACGGCGCGATTTTATACGAGATACAGGATACAACGAATCGTTTAAGCTGTAGCAGCATCGGTGGATAGTGTTCGGGATTTCGAGTGGCCGTCCGTTTCACTCGGACGACACACACCTGCCTCTTTTGGTAAAGTGCGAATTTCCTACCTGCCAAGTTTTAAACCTTTCGACGAGGACCTCGTTAAGAGGCTAATTAACAGTGCCTAAGTGCCCGATGGGTCCGCTCTGAAGTAAACATCCCGCATCAATCAACTATACCAATGGATATACGGCCAGGAGGGTACGCGATTGCAAGATCGGAAGGAATAGATCTCCATCCCATAAAAGCCATGGTAAGAAGGAAAACCCAGGGACTGGAGTCAGTATGTAAGGATCAGCCTAAGCTTCTTGAAGAAATTTTACAATAGTCTTCGTCAGATCGTCGTACTCTTCGTTATACAGTGCAAATAAATTAACTGAATACAATACCACTGCGCATCTTTAAGTTACCTCCACCTTGAGCCTTAAATCTCGTTCAAGGTTCGCGATACCAACCGACCGGTCGCAACCTCACTGACCGCCGGTTAGTTGAGAATTCGCAACAGACAGACCAAACGAAACGTTCTTTGCTAGCGTTCACTATGCGACTACGAAGTTGCTGTCCGCACGACGTCCGTTCCACAACATTCTGACAACTCTCCAACAACTCTGACTCTTCTTCGTCATGCTGCTCTCTTAAAGAATTCTCACGTACGAGATTCGATCTTTGCACGTACCAACGCGCGTTCGAATCTCCACTCGCATTTCTAGATTCGCTCTTTATTCGCAACCAATAATTTAAGACTCGATCCACGACGGTGAAACGAGAAAAAGGTCCGTATTGCGTGTACAAAGCAGCCGAGTTCTAGGAACTCAAACAGTACACGTGGCTCGTTGTACGCTGGAACGATAGTAGAACTACTTTCCGCGATAATGAGGATGTACGCTATAAATCCAGCAAATCAAAAACAAACTATTTCTACATTCGCTCGTTTCTGCATTCAACGTCGGATGGTTAATCGCGCGAAATGACTAACGGGCTGATGTCTGACAGGCCGATTGCCTGGTATTTTTATCGCGATCGCGAAATGCCGCGAAGGGTGATACGGGTGTCGTTCTGTGACCGCGTTTATTAGGGTTAACGTTGTGCCGCCAACTTAATTTATCGATCTTAGTTCGATGAACATCATAACCACAACGAGCTCGCGCCACGTGCAACGATCGTCCTCGCAACCGATCTCGAGCAAACGATCTATATATGCTATGTACTAAAGGCTGTCCGTGCTTCGAATCCAGACTGGTCTGGTCTCGTTATCGTCGACCGTTAATTTCTTCGACGCATTGTTTTCGCGAGGAGAAAGGAAATCTCTTCCCAGCCCGAACTTTTATCTACGACTGTCGGTCTTTCACTCGTCGGGGATAAAAGTCGCGCACAAACGAGTACTCCTTCGTTTTATCCATTTCTATCCGAATAATAGTCGCGTTCTTTACGAAGAAATTTGACCGACCAGACTTGTCCAGACTCGAACGGATAGCTCTGAAATTTACCCGTCACGCCAATTAATAGCAAATGGAGTGGAACTGCTCGTGGGTTTTACATCCTCTACCGTAACTTGTTTCTAGGAAGCGGAAACGTTCTCGTTGCATCGACTGCTGTTTCTTTAAAAACAGCTTTTGATTCTTATCGTTTGTGAACGGCAGCTCTCTAATTGGATCATGGTAATAGCAGTGATATTCTTGCGCGATACAAACGTCTTAGATACCAGTCTTTTCAACAACGTTTATGCCAGCATCGCCAATTCGCAACGATCAAATAATCGAACGACGGAGAACAGCTGTGAGAACGATGAAAATTTCAAACAAAGTCCCGCGCGTCTCGAAATTCCATTTATCTGCCGCGATCGAGCGCGATTTCTCTTTTACCTTTCTACCGGCCTAACTCCACACGGACAATTACCGCCTCTTTCTCCTCTAATTATTTCAAAAACTAACGGATAGATCTGTCGTGACGTATAAAGGTAAGTTGCCGCGTCTCTCGTGAATTTTCAGTCGGATCGGTCAAGCTACCCGTTGTTTCACCCGCGCACACACCGGAGCACGATCGATTCGCGAAACTCGTAAGATGATCGTGTTCCTGGCGGATCGGCTTGTTCAATGGAGTTGGGTGCAATCGGCACGCGACGCACGTATCGCTCGAATATGGCGCGTTACACGCGTAATCCGTTCGTCGTCCAACTTCTAAAGCGTGACTCAAAGCCTGCTTACCGCGTGCGTCAACGTGCCGTCTGCGAAGCGACACGACGAGCAAGAGAAAAAAATGGAGAAAAAAGCGAGAGAACAACGAAAATAAAAAAAGCGAAAAAGATGGAGGGGGACGAAGAAAAAGGCGGCTGGAGCACTTGTCGGAGTGCTTACGCTTACACGCGAGCCGCGTATCGAATCCGGGTGAAGGTCTGACTCTTTTACCAGCGTTGGAAGCGGTCGGGCCAGGTGTAGTCTCGAACGCGGTCGTGAATTTGTGGTCGTCAAGACTATGTCGGTTCGAAAGAACGATTCCGTCGTCGCACGATCGAATCGTTGCGTCGCGTACGATAAAACCTGCACGATGCAAGGATCTTTCGCAATGATTTTCAACGTCTGCCGCTTTCCATTCGGTTAATGGACATTTCGGTGTGTTTCGCGTCTACTTTTCAATTATCCACGTGCTTGGTAACGCAAAAACGGCACGGCCGCCCGGTTTTTACGTTAATTGGACGCTGGCTCGATACGCCGTTTAACGGCGATCGTACCAATCACTGTGTACCTCGCGTCGATCGTAATTAACGTTTAAATGACGTGGCAGATACTTGGCCGTGCGTCAAGACAACGTTCGACCGATGAAACCTCTCGATAAAACGATTAAGAAGAAAGTTTTCTTGGAAGGAAGGCGGGAGAGAAGGGAGAACGGGGATCGCTGATCGCGTAACGATACGCTTACGTTCGTACCACTCGACCAGATTTTTTATATCGACGTGACCTGTGCTGACCTAGAGAGTAAATACTCGGACGTGCACGGTTCGATTACGTAAAGCTTATAAGCGGTCTCACGGAGCAGATTAACCGGAAAAAGTTGGACGCCATTGACGCGAGTAATTTACCAAGGTCGTAAGGTGTCGAGATGTTGCTATCTCCTGCTGTAAACCGAATCTAGGACATCCTTGGACACAGTGTTCTCCGTAAATCAAGTCTTTACTGTTTCTCAGGTATTATTACGTTCCCTTGTGGTTTGGATCGGCGAGTTTCTAACGTAGTATCGCGTCCTCGACGATATAAACTTCGAGGTTTTCGGTATATTACCACGTTCTCCAGAGTCCAGGGTCGAGTTTTGAGACTTCGGTATAAAGTAGGAGTTTGTTCCAGTTCTCGGTATCGTAGGAATGGAAATTCGAACGGACGAAAGAAGACGGAGAGAAGAACGCTTATGACAGACTATCGGAAACGATCGACGAGCGATTTAAGAAACGCGCGTAAAGCAAGTGCTAGATGTCTTTCTAGTCGCATGCGCGTCGTGTGTCAGCGGGAATCGTCGAAGTTGGGAGTGAGAGTCAAAGTTCAAAGAGAACAGAGTCTGAAAGAAACGTGCCACGTTGAACGAATCACGAATAAACTATTATCGTAGTATCTTTGCTTTGTCGTTCGTATAATTCTAATTACTTTATTTTATCTGTACCGCGATATCTTTCCTGCGCTTCCTACGGTATTCTTAAAGTAATATATACCAAGTTTCCTAGCAAGCTAAAAATAAATTTCTTTATAACGCTACACCTTCCAACATCCTGCGCGTGGTGCCAATTGCTCGAGTTTATTTCAACGTAGCGCCACGTTTCTCCTAAGGCGTGAACCTCCGACTCGATGTTTGGACAAGCTAAAACTAGCCACCCTTGATGTAACGACGCGATCTATCCCGCGCGTCTGCGTTGTCATCGAGGAAGACAAAGGTTGGAACAACGGATATACGTACAGCTCGAGATATGCTTGGTTACGCAACTTGGATCGACTCTTTCCTTTTTCCTTTTTAATATCCGGCTACCAGCTCCGTATACGACGATGACTAGCGAGAAGACAACCACGAACGTAAATAAGTACCTCTTTGCTCGGGTAGTAGAACGACCGGCAAACGCGTTAAAGGAAATAACAGTACGATCGTCACACGACCAGTCCGAGCGGCGGGC